AAATATTAATGGCACTTTACTTAGACTTAAGACCAAATGAACCCTCTATTACTACAGTCGGGAGGTTGCCAATGCAGTATTTTTGCTTTGTGTGTTTTTTTTTTTTTTTTTTTTTTCTTTTGCTTTTCTTGATATTTACTCTTCTGCATCGTGTGTGAGTAAAGTCTGACTCTCCTTGTGCTGGCAGCACATTGGAATTTGACTCTGGCTGCAGCGCATGGCAATGAAGGAAAACCACAAAAAAGCAGTTTTACTATATGTGCAGCCTACCAATGTTACAGTAATCCAATACAGAGGGTTTCAGTTGGCGTTTAAATCGCCTTTGGTCATTAGACCCCCCCCCAAGGAATACCCCCATTTCCTCTGTTTTTTTTTTAGATTGTGGACAGTGCTGTTGTGGATAGTGGAATTGGCTCTACCTGGACAGAGTTTGACACAGACTATGATTTGGTAAGCTTATGACGTGTGTATATTTACTTTTTTGTTTAAACCTTTTTTTTTTTTTTTTTTTTCTTTAAACTTGCTTTGTTTCTGGCCTAGACCAAAATGTTGTACATCCCAGGAGTTTTCATGGGTATTTTTTTCTTTTATCAGGAGGGGCTCCTCCTTTCTCAGCTAAGCCCATCGTCCTGCCCAGGGGCGTATTTACCACAAGGCAAACAAGGTATTTGCCTAGGGCGGCATTTTTTAGGGGGCAGCACTGCCCCCTAGAAGGGACATATGCGGTATGGGGACCAGGTGGGATCCGAGAGAGACTGCTTGATGGTGTATGCAGAGCCCAACTGTCGATCTCGAAAATGTCCAGAGCTGTGAAGGTGAGTTTTTCTTTCTGTCGCCATGAAAGGGGGGGTGGATGTTAGTGGCAGGCTCTCTCGGGTGGGAGGGAATGGGGCAGGGGTGTTGTTGGTCAGGATCTCTCCCCGGGGGGGGTCTGGTGTTGGTTGGTGTCGGGCTCTCTGCCGGGTAGGGGGCGTCCGATTTTTGTGTTGCCTAGGGCAACACAAAACCTAAATACACCACTGCTCCTGCCTGCATGTCTAAGCTAAGGGAGGATGGATTCCAGGAAGTAAATGCTACTTAAATCTGCACTCATGATTGCCATACGGGTGGGGGGGGTGCAAGGTGATTTATTTCCAAACAAAATAAAGCATGCTGAAGACATGGATGGATGAGTTTGCTTCGTATGCTAAAAATTAATTGAATAGCATTTTCAGTTTGTAGTCCTCAGATAGTTTAGTTCTGCTTTAACTTACAATTTTGAATAACTGGCTCCACTGATAGTACTATACAGTTTTAATTGTCTCGGTATGCAACAGATATGCATAAACAAAAGAGTAATTGTAATTTTCTTTCAGACAATGGATTCGAGTACTTGGATAGGCTCCCCAAAAGTAACAGTGACACCTGCTGGACAAATACTGGAGGTATACCTTACACCGAAATCCTAGCTTTTGACATGCCAGATTTTTTATTTGTTTATTTTTCTATTAATGGAGAACTATAAATTGGACCAAAAACAGGGACAACTTTGTAGTAAAGAGGGATAAAGGGATTTAGTTCTAAGAGGGACAATCCAAGGGGCACTTGCGAGATTGCGAGATATGATTGTAGAGAGAGTCACAGGTTGTAGCTATAGAATGGCCTATTTTTTTATTTATTGGGGCTGTGTCTCTTGTCTTTTTTTTTTTGTTTTGTTTTTTTTTTTTTTTTTTTTTTTTTGTTTTTTTATCAGACTATATTTGCGCAAAATGGACTCTGTACAAAAAACAAAACCAGGCGAAAATTAAAAGTATGGCCCTACTTCTGCTATGGATCACAGAACTGCACTTCATTCATTCTGCACTCCTGTGATCATTTTCAGCTGAATGTGGGCTAAAGTCTGTCATTTGGTTGGTCCAGGCTCTGGAAAAATCCTGACTTTAAAGTCAGGATCCACCCAGATGCCTGGACCAGCAGCTAGCTCGGCCTCTCGGTGAGCTGCTGAGAGCCTTGGGCAGCTGCCGCCTCCTGACAGCCTGGTGCTCCAATGAGCCCTGGAGAGACAGAGCATAGATCTAGTGGCCCAGTGACAGTGTCTCTGAAGGCTGAGAACTGAGCAATCAGCAGTCTTTGATCCCTCAGCTCTTTGTCTTAGAGGCAATGGGGACAGCTGTGGCTGGGGTCAGTGCTGCAGCTGTGTATGTGGTGGTTTTGTTTGTATTTTTTTTTTTTTTTTTTTTTTTTTTAATTTCCTTCTATTTTTCTTTTAATTACACTGTATTTAAAAATTGTTATGCTGATTCTCTGCTCCAAAACCGAAATTAACTTATTTCCTCTGAAGAAAGCTACCAATGTTTTAAACTCTGGTACATTTCCTAATAAAACAAATATGCAGCGCTTATCATAAAAATTCTATAAAAAGGTATAACCTATAAGCATTAAACTTGCATAAAAATGATGGTGCATAAACGATAGTGACAAATATAATGGTGAATGGATGAAGATATCTAAAAAGAACATTTATGATTAACTCATAATCTAAATATAACCAAAATAAAAGTATATGCAGAAACACTAATAAATGTAAGTCTGGTGAAATTTTGAATGGATGAAATCCATAAAATATTGAATTAAGAATTCCGATATTCAGTGAAGACAGGATACAGTGCAGGTGACTTCTTGTGGAATATGAATGAAGTGTGCTTGCACTTACCAGAAGCGCAAAACAAATGCACTTATAGTCATCAAGGATCTGATCATAGGAAGGGGTAAGGGGGCTACAATGACACACACACATCGGACAGCAATCCAGACCACGCAGCAGACCAAACCCACACACAGGTAACTAAAGGTGATTCCTTAGGCGATTTCAGCTACTTTATGTAGATTTGCACCAGAAGTACCACTCCAACCTTAAAATGGCTCAAAAAATGAAGCCACCAAAACAAAGGTGTAATAATAGTGTAGTTGTTTATTAATGATAAGCCAAACAATTCATAAAATCCACAGAAGAAATCTCATTTGAATCTCAGTGAGATGAACTGTCTCAGCAATAGTGATAATTCAGTGTAATGCTGATAAATAGTGTCAACAACAGTACATAATGCAAAAATATCCACAATACAAAAGATATTTTAAAAAAAAGCCACTGGGCCCCCATGTAGCCTTGGTGGGAGAACGTCAGTGTGACAGGGCTAATCCCTTAGTACAGTAGGTGCTGAGAATAGTGCAGGTTTCCATTAAAACATGTGGCAGCTACTGTTTCTATAAAAGGATAACTTGAGTTAATCTATTTCTGTGACAATTACTCATTTTGCTGCCATTTAGGTTGATGCCCCATGCCCTGAAAAATCTCTGTGCAGGGTGAGGCTGAGAGTGCTGTCTGTTCTATATAGCAGTCCACCAATGCATGCTCTGGAGAAGTACAAATTGCCCCAGAGACTACCATTGAATTCTGTACACTAGGGTGAATATTGCAGCTTTAAGGCCCCACATGGGACCTATTGTTACTACATGATATTTTTCACCTAAAATAGTGTCGAGCCTTTCCAGATGAGCTGATAGCAGGGGCGGACTGATCATTTGGAAACTCTGGCAATGCCCGGGGTCAGTAGGGGGCCCCATGAGATGCCCCTGGTACCTTTTTCATAGGCTTTTTTGAGTTTGGGCAAGGACACGGGCCCCATGATCCCCTATTGCCCGGGGGCCCCATGAGTTGTCAGTCCACCCCTGGCTGATAGAGTTTTTTTTTTTCTGAAGCATGTTAGTGGGGAATATTCAAACATTCCTCCAAGGGGGACCTATTTGTATGGCAGGCCTTCTGTGTTTTATTCTTTGTTCTGTCTTCACTACATGCTTCCCTGTGTGTAGCTAGACATGCAGCTAAACCCTCCTGTTCTGCAAAAAGCTAGACTATGTGTAATCTTAAAACTTTAACAACAAAACAGGAGTGAAAATATTAGGAAAAAACAGATTAGAAATATATACAATCAATGTAAGAACCTACAGAAAACACAAATAGCTAGGCAATAGTTGGCGATTATTTATTATTATTATACAGTATTTATAAAGCGCCAATAGTTCGCTCAGCGCTGTACATTACAAAGGGGGACAGAACATGTGACAGAACAATACCAATACAATGCAAAACATGAGGGGATCGAGGGCCCTGCCCTTTCGAGCTTACAATCTAGGAGATAGGCGATAAAGTGATTCTCGCCTGCGATGCTCCCATTAGGAGATGCAAGAGGATGCGGATTCCAGTTCTACATGTGCTCTGATGGTTAGATCCTTTTCTCCCAGTCTCTAGGATGGAGTCTGAATTCTCTTCCCTTTCTCTCAGAAATGGGTATTTTTATTAACTTTTAACCTTATCTAAACAGTCTCTAGTTTCCGTAAAAGCCGTAAATGTATTACTGGCTTTATCTAGTGACCTACTTTCATATTGTAGACTGAATTTTTCCTGCTGGAGGCAAAATGTTCCTGATCATGATACATGCAATCTTTAACCATATATAGGTGCTCCTTTATGAAGGTATTCACACAAGATTTATGCAGCATTCACCCACCTTGCTAATTGATTTTAATTTTGGAATCGTGTGAATTCTTGGTGAAAGTTGTATACATCTTGTGAAAAATAAATAAAAAAGACCCTATAATTGTTTTTTGAGAAGTGCTCTCTCTCTCTCCTCCCCCTCCCCCTCCCCCTGATCAAAATACAGGAGCTGCTATTGCAGACCTTTCTGAAAATGCCAGCTGCCTGGCTATTATGCAGGTTCATTGTCCTCGGTACTAAAACTATGCAAATAAAGACTGGAGTTTTAATTATCTGCGTACTTGTTCTTGGCTGGTGGCTCAAAGTATTGCTGTAAGAGAGTTTGCATGACAGCCAGGCACCAAGCATTTTAAGGAGAATGCTCAGAACTGACTGCTTTTTTGTTTCTCTTCTCTCAGGCTGCTGTAATCTGTATAACAAGTTGTTTTTGTGCTGCATAATATAGGATAAGGCAATCTTGAGAGTGATGGACAAGGCACCATATTTACCACCAGCCAACCTGGAGTTCCTGGGCTCCCCCATGCATCGTGGGTACCTCTGTGCACAGAGGCTGAAGGGTCTAGAGATGGGTAGACTGTCCCCCAAGCCATTTCGACAGCGTTTTCATAGGCAGGTAAAAAGATTGTCTAGTCTCTTACTGCACTCTACCATGAACTCCACTCTTTTTAAGGTCTGATTGCACTTGAAATTGCTTATGCTGTCTACACATCTGTGTACTCCTACTCAATACATCTGTGCAGTTTCGGTATGCTGTGGGTGCTGTGCACTTTAGGTACATTTTACAAGCATTAACATTGGACACTATATCATTTCCTTGAATCTTATCAAAGAAGCGGCAAGCTGGGCTTTTTCAAACACTGCACCAGATATCAACAGGGCCAACTTTTTGGGACATGTCTATACAGAATGTACTTTGTGGTTAAGTAAATTGTTTTTTCATTATTTAGATCTTTGTGGTCTATGTAACTGGGGCTCTGGCATGTACTCCATGCTATAAGGTGTCCTTCACTATTTTGTTGGGAAGCATGGATGTAGCCATCTAGTTGCAATTAAGCCAATGGTTTAAATATTCCCTTCTATCCCAAATCTGTTGTGGCACTTAAAGCTAAAAGTGTTTATCCATATAGCAAGGAGGTTGAGCAGTTATCACTAGTGTCTTGCAGTGCTGGACTCCTGGAATTCAACACCAGGAGGAAGACTGCACATGTAGCTAGTTGCAGAGGAATGTGCAATAATTTAGAAGTTTATTGAACCTTTTTAAAATAACAGGAGAAACATTTTTTACTAAATTTGACTGTATTCATGAACATATACCCTTTGCCTATGTTCCCCTTTCTGCTTTTATTTTTTTTCTAAACGGAAAAACCCTAAAGCACATAACTTTCTATAGCTGATGTTTGTGTAATATGATTGTTGGTTTAGCAATCTTATTTTGTGAAAAAACTTACTAGCTTAAGTTGGTTCCAGCAGTCCCCACTGGTGCCCCACAGCATGCGCCCACCTTTTCCATTCACACCTCCCAGAAGAGCGGCTCCACCCTTCACCCCCAATCAGGTAGGTTATGTGGCGTATACATTTGCTGCTCTGCTTGATAATGTGTTAACTGCTGTATGTTCATTGATATCCTGGGTCAGGTTGATTTTGTACAATGTTGGGTACACTGAACAGACATGGCATTTACATTCAACTTTTCTCTAGAGCAGTGGCCTCCGAGCTGCATGCTGAATCTGTCCCCTTGCTTCCCTTTATCTGGCCCTTGGGGGACCATTTCTCTCACCTATACTATTATTATTATTTTTATTTATTATTATTATTATTATACAGTATTTATAAAGCGCCAATAGTTCGCTCAGTGCTGTACATTACAACACGGACTATTCCTCGCTCCAACACAAATTATGGGGTATAATTCCTCCCATTAATACAGTATTTCACAGAAGTGCGTACACCCCTCACATTTTTGTAAATATTTTTATATCTTTTCATGTGACAACACTGAATAAATGACACTTTGCTACAATGTGACGTAGTGAGTGTACAGCTTGTATAACATGTAAATTTGCTGTCCCCTCAAAATAACTCAACACACAGCCATTAATGTGCCATTAATGTCTGAACCGCTGGCAACAAAAGTGAGTACCAATGAAGGGATTTTTCCTACGAACAATAACTGAGCGAGGCTAACTTGCTCACAACAATGGGGAGCTATTCCTTGTAAAGACACAATTGATGATGCACTATTCCTCTTCCTACTGCCTGTAGGCATTATGTAACATTTTTTTTTTTTTTTCCCCCCATTGACCACAGTCTGAGAAATTGTATACTTCTCCCACTAGCCACAGACCCCCCTAAAGTCTGAAGGACTGTAAACTGGCCCTTTTGCTTGGAAAGTTTGGAGATCCCTGCTCTATAGTATAGAAAAGGGATCTGTGAGGGCAGATTCCTTGCTTTGCACATAGGAAGAGACCCAAAAACCAGACCAGAAGGCATGTTCTCAAGTTTACCCCCCAAAAAAGTCATACGATTGCTTGCGATGTGGGATGTGAAGGTGATCAACTGGAGACCTTTATTTAATGGATGCCTGTCCTTTATGTTGGTGGCAATTGCTTAGCGCCAAGACTGGGCAAAATAAAAAATGATTCAGCCTGTCGGGAATATTAACACAGCAATGTTTGTTCTGATTTTTTTTTTTTTGTTTTTCCCTCCACCAGACCCTCCTTCCCCATAATATTTTATTCTTGTTTATACTGATCTTGCCAGTAGATCCATTGATTCTATGCAATCTGTAACAGGCCAAACTGTACAACAAAAGGGGCAGTTATAGGTTGAAAAAAAGTATATTACATTTGGAGCAGTGCTTATAATGGTCAGCTTTTACTATGTGGTTTAAAAAAAAAAAAAAAAAAGTTTCTATAACTGTGGTTGGAATTAATTTAATTTTGTTAGCCTGTTGCTTAAATCAAGCCTAAGGTTCCACTGCCACAAAGTGGAAGCAGATGGGCTTTTTAATAAATAAATCTACATGCCTGCTCGCAGTGTTCTCAAAGTAAACTGAGCTGTACATGTACAGCTCATCTTGCATCTCTGGCACAGTGCCTGTGTGCTGGGGTTACTGACTTCTGCACAGTAGTGATGTCGTGCACTGGCCAATGAGGACTGCCTAAGTCTGGCATCCAGGAGACTCATACAGAGAGACTCAAGAAAACAAGAAACTGATGTGCTCTTGCCCCAACTTCCTTTAGAAAAAAAGGCTTCAATCCTTTTTAATTCACTGTCGCAGGAACAAATATGCACATAAAGTTCTGATGTCACTTGCTGCATGCCAATTCTTAATCAATGACTCAACGTAATGTAGAAAGCCAGTATATTTGTACATTCTGAATAGCAGGTATCCTTTTCAAGCTCTTCTCGAGCAGATGGGTAACATGATATGGTGACTTCGTAGGAGGAGCAGGGGTGGATTGACCATTTTAGCACTCAGGCACTACCCGGGGTCAGTAGGGGGCCCCAAGAAATGCCCCTGGTACACTTTTTTTTTTTTTTTTTTTTGTAGGCTTTTTGGGGTGTGCTTTAAGCGTCGGCAAGGACACGGGCCCCATGATCCCCTATTGCCAGGGGGCCCCATGAGTGTCAGTCCGCCCCTGAGGAGGGACTTCACACAGTGAGGAAGAGAGGTCTTGCACTAGGATAACAATGCTTCTGCAGTGATTGTGTATGATGGCAGATGTAACGGAACAATTTTTTCTTTTACTTTTTTTTTTTTTTTTTTTTTTCTTTCCCTTTTTAGTCTCCAGGTTTTATGTCCCAGACTCCCTTCAGGCCAATGTCTCCTAACATTAGCACCCCTGTGAGGCCAATGACCCCAAAGATGGTCAGGATGCAGTTTGGTCCAATGTCTCCCAGTCCTAGCATGTCTCCGTTCTTTAGCCCCCTAGGCAACACACTCCAGAGGTTCAAGTAAGTTTTCAATCTTTTTAACGATCCAAACCATAACATGTATTCAGAAATGTTATAGATTCAGATATAATTTTGTGAAATTTTAGTAGAGTGACAATGTCAAAGCAGTGAGGGTGTTTCCAGTTGTAGCGGGGCCATCATTTCACTGTGTGCTTCAATGCAGGTGAATCGTTATGGCTGGTGCAGCAGTTTGTCAATTGGGGATCTCAACTCTCGTGTTGTAAATAAAAGGACTACATGTCTCTCAGCTCAAATCCCTTTATGAATGCGTATTGTACAGTTGACATGATTTTTGAGACCAGCCAAACCAGTACCACACTATCTGGGCAGCAGGTGAAATCATGTTTTTTTTTTTTTTTGTTTTTTTTTTTGTGTAACAGCTTTGTGGCCCCCTGTGCCACTTCCCTACTTGTATGCTCATTGGACTATAAGCATTGGGACATTGGCAAAGCTTTTTTATTTTTTGCCTCATCATGCAATCCTGTCCATTAACCACATGTATGGCTAAAATTTCTGACTAATGGTCCCTGACTGTTTTTTACATAGTGACTTCCTAAAGCTTCTGACAGTGTTGGTCCCCCCATATTCAGGTATTTCTGGAAAACCAGGAAAATCTAGATCAAATTTGTTTGTTTTTTGTATGTGTATGTATGTTTTTTTTTTTTTTTTTTTTTTTTTTTTTTTTTTTTTTGTTTAAATCTAAAATTGTAAATTGTTGGAGCTGGGTTCCTTCTGTCAGAATGTATCCTTTTTTACATGAAGTACTTTTTAATTGTCATTATACCTTTTAGGGTTCCTGGACATGTAACACAGCTGCATCCCCAACATCGCAGAATCCTTAGTCAACGACAACGCACTCAAAGGTAAGACTTGTATTAGGTCTAATACAGTGTAACGGGGGGGTTGCTTTGTAAAGTCGGGTTCTAATGCTAAAATAAGAACAGAAATCTGGAAGCTGTGCCAAAAAAGGCAGGCAATGGACATTGATCCATTATTGCCCAAGCTTTCCTAATGGATTTATCATGCCTTGTTCTCTGCTTTTTCTATGAGGCCGCTATCTTAGGAGAGGCAGGCCTTTGCTTCCTCATGTTTGTCTCCAACATGAAAAATGGTGAGCTGCACAGTAGTGTGCTATAGAGAGAATGTAGCAAATCTTTTTACTTTTGAACTCCGTTCCACTTTTAATTTGCATGTTCTATTGGTAAATTGTGAAAAGCAGAGGTTTGCAATATACAGTACTTATTTTTAATAGCCTTCAGCAAAAAACATGCATGTGTAACACTACCCCCTTAGGAGCCACTGAAGTTTTGGGTCCCCCTATAGTTTTTGCATAGCCAGGCAACACACATTTCCACAATAACTTACATCCAGGAGACAGTAACCAGTCCATGAGCTTTCTTTTGAAGTTCTATTGGGAGATGTGAACTTGGATAGGGTTATGGGTGTACAGGATGTGAGACCGAGGATAATCCTCCCTCTGGATAATGGTGGTGCCTCAGAAGCTCCTAGGTGGTAAAGGATCCAGTCAGCCAGAGGTCGGGTGGGTGTAGAAGCCTATGAGACAGGAACTCCCTCCTCTGGATAAGTCCATAAGCAAGATGGTCGCCGGACCTTCTCGTGGCTCTGGCGGCGTGACATCACGGCGTATTGGCTCCTCCGTTTCGTTTCGTGCGCACGCATGTCTTCAGAGGGGATGCCAATCTAAAGACGTGCGTGCGCACAAAACGCGTAAGTAGCCAATACGCCATGACGTCACGCCGCCAGAGCCACAAGAAGGTCTGGCGGCCATCTTGCTTATGTACGTATCCAGAGGAGGGAGTTTCTGTCGCACAGGCTTCTACACCCACACATCCCTTAAAGGGAACCTCTGGCTGACTGGATCCTTTACCACCTGGGAGCTTCTGAGGCACCACCATTATCCAGAGGGAGGATTATCCTTGGCCTGGCTCATACCCGATTCCTAAAGGGGACCTCCCAGTGATTTGAGTTAATGCGTATTCACATTACGCATCTGGTGAGTGCGTATTCTTACCCCACTACTCTGGAGCACCAGCACTGAAGTTTTGCTGCTATTTCACCTAATACTTGCACAGATTGTCACTTATGGACGTATACCGTTTTTTAGTTAACATTTAATTTTTTTTTAAGTGGACCATTTCATACATTACTTTTAGCGCTGCACTTTATTTGAATTACTACTGAGGGTGTTTTATTGGTTACCTTTAGTGCTACAGCTGCTGCCTAGAGAGCGCTCACTTTTCTTTTTCTTAGGATGTGAGACCTAGAGAGCGCTCCCTTTTCTTTTTCTTAGGATGTGAGACCAAGGACACCTTCCTGGAACTATATAAAAGTTTTTCTACAGCAAAATCCTTTTCTTGTAAAGCTAGCCAGCGTCTCCACTTGTACCACCCTATATTCTCCTAATCCAGCCGATCTGGGTGAATCCCTGAGCAGGGGATCCAGTGCCTGTCACTTTAAAGTAAGAAAGTCCCTGGTAGACGCTGATCTGATTTCCCACCAGAGTGCTCCTTCCTCTATTTGGCCTAGGGGGTGCAGGTTTATTCACTTAGTCCTTCTCTTGTATTGCTGGTGGGTCGGTGACTGCTACCAGGCCTTCGAGCTGGGCCACTCCTTCCCTACCACACAGGTGGTCCTCTCTCAGGGCGCCTATGAAGTCCCAAGCTTTCCTTCCAAGCTTCCTGCCTGGCGGTGAGCCCCTCTATATGGGCCCCTTCCCAGGCTCCAGCTCTCCAGCTTCACTCCTGATCTTCCACCTTAATTCTCCAACTCTCCTGCTGTTGAGCAGGCTGTTACTATTAAAGGCTGTCCTGGCTCCTTGCCAAGCCTCATATTTGGGATTGGCCAGGATCCTCTAAGAGTACATACCAGCCACTCCTTTACCTCCACCCACTGCTTCTAAAACTTTCTCCAAAGTTCTAGAGCAGGGGAAAATCCCAGAGAGCTGGTCTGCAGAGCCTCTCAGCTCTGACCTAAATTTGACCCACCTGGCTATTACACCCAGGCTGCTACTCGGCCTCTATCTAACAAGTGAACTAGAGCTCCCCCTAGATGACTAGGAGGGTGCTACAGATGCTATCAGTATTGTGCGTTTTTATGGCCATTGGATATTGGTATTTTAAAATTATTTACCACTGAGTGTTACTTCATCCCAGTGAGCTGCACATTAAAGTTGTTGTAAACCTCAGACATGAAATCTGAACAAAGCACATATTTCTATAGTGTTTACTTGCCTCTCTCCAAAACACCAAGTGTCTTTTCTCTTTGCTGTCTTGTTCCTCTGTTATAAGCACGAGTCTCTTCTGAAAAGTTTTCCTGACATAAAGAGCTAAATGACGTGACTGGAGGGATCTCCAATGCGCAGCCTGTGATTGACAGACTCAGCTCTCTTTCTGTGTGAAGGGGAGTGGGTCCTTTCCCTCCAATCAGCTCTTGGAGCTCTTGTATAGTATGTAACTGCAGCCCCCCCATCCTTTTGTGAGTCTGAAAAATCATTATCTTGCGTTTTTACGAGGATGTACAGGACAAATTGTTGCAAATAGCTATAACGTATGTAGATGGATTTTGTTTAATCTTTGTGTATCACCTGAGGCCAGTCACTTTCACTTAACTGGGTGTAGATAAGTGTTTATAATCACTTTAAATACCCAGCTTCTATTCAAGGTGGTGTTTTTTTTTTTTTTTTTTTTTTTTTTTTTTTTAATCTTTTGGATTCCAAAAACCTTTGCTTTTGTTACTGTGATCTCATAGGCATTTTCAACATGTCGTCATTTTTTTCAAAGGCTTTTCTACAAGATGGAGCATCCTCTATTGACGTCCATGTTTTGGGTCATCATTGTCATAGCCCCGTTTCAGGTTTTGACGTGACGTTGCTGTAGTTTCCTGCAACAAATGCAAAAATGCATTTGTTAATCCTTTTTAGGGCACATTGGCACCTTTTCATAAGTGTTAACATGCGTGTTAAAGTTCAGAACAAAACGTATAGCGCACATTCTTTTTCACTGGCGCCACAAAGTGCATACATCACAAACAAATGTGCCTGCCTCATAAATGAGTTTTTTTTTTTTTTTGCCTTATGGTGCACTTAGAAAAACAAATTAGGCCAGGAATCCAGTAAGTGTGCCAATCTGTGAAGGGCCTTGATGACTAAGCTGTTCAGAACTAAAAAAATGGCAAAGCAGCCCTGTAGAATTGTATTACATAAATTGCCTTGTGGTTTGGTTAAGATTTTTGTGGTGGTCTTCAGTGTTTTGACTACTTCCAAAAGAATGTCACACTGCTCGGAGTATAGCATCCAATCAATTAAACTCCTGGGATATTGATCTGGTCAGTTAAGGCGCAGAGGGGGTTGGTAATCGGTTTCGGCTGCTTTTGGTGTTAATAAAATTAACAGGTGCACTAGATGGTCAACAATGAGACTACCACAAAAACCGGAATGGTTTTACAGGTTGAAGCCACTGACTTTTTTCTCTACTCATCTTTTCTGTTCTTCACTAGTTTTGCATTTGGCTAGGGTCAGTGTCACCTGGACCTGCAGAGGTTGCACAGGCAGTCCAACTCCTCCAGGATGGTGCATAAATATATGCCATTGCCAGAAGGTTTGCTGTGTCTCCAGCACAGTCTCAAAAGCATGGAGGAGATTCCAGGAGATGGGCATTTACTCTAGGAGAGTTGGACAGGGCCATAGTAGGTCCTTAACCAATCAGCAAGACCGGTATCTGCTCCTTTGTGCAAGGAGGCGTAAGATGAGCACTGCCAGAGCCCTACAAAATGACCTCCAGCAGGCCACTGGTGTGAATATCTGACCAAACTATCGGAAACAGGCTTCATTAGGGTGGCCTGAGGGCCCCAACATCCTCTAGTGGGCCCTGTGCTCGCTCGCCTGGCACGATAGAGCTCGATTGGCATTTGCCATTGAACACCAGAATTGGCAGGTCTGCCAGTGGTGCCCTGTGCTTCTCACAGATGAGAGCAGTTTTCACACTGAGCACGTGACCGATGTGAAAGGGTCTGGAGAAGCCGCGAAGAACGTTATGTTGCCTGTAACATCGGTCAGCATGACCGTTTTGGTGGTGGGTCAGTGATGTTCTTTGGAGGCATATCCATGGAGGGATGCACAGAACTCTACAAGCTAGACCCTGACACTCTGACTGCCATTAGGTATCGGGATTAAATCCTTGGACCATTGTCAGATCCTATGCTGGTGCAGTGGGTCCAGGGTTTCTCCTGGTGCATGACAATGCCCGACCTTTCTGTGGTGAGAGAATGCAGGCAGTTCCTAGAGGATGAAGGAATTGATACCACTGAATGGCCCTCATGCTTGCCTGACCTAATGCCAATAGCACACCTTTGGGTTATCATGTTTTGGTCCATCGAACGCCGCCAGGTTGCACCTCAGACTGTCCAGGAGCTCAGTGATGGCCTGCTCCAGATCTGGGAGGGAATACCCTAGGACACCATCCATCATCTCATAAAGAGCATGCTCTGACATTGTCAGGTATGCATACAAGCACGTGGGGGGCCATACAAACTGAGTTGCTGCAATGAAACTTCAACTTTGAGGAAATTAAAATAATCAACCTACAGAGGACTGAATTCAAAGACACCCGAAAATCAAACTATGGGGCTTCCTTGTGTTCCTAACACATTACCCAGTCCATATCGGTATAGATTTCCAGCATGATATTTTTCCCCATTGAGATCTAATGTGTTTTTCAAAGTGTTCCTTTAATTTTTTTGAGCAGTGTATGTTTTTATTTCATTTCATCTGTCATCCAACCCCAAAACCTCCTTCAGCAGTACTCTGGAAGAGCCAGGAAGGTCTTTTAGTAACCTGCTATGGACACCATCCCTGTTCAAGGTTTATCCAATGGTAAACTCCTGAAAATAGATTTATCAGGTGACTGATATAAACCTGCAGATGCCTAGTTTTGAAAGGTGGTTATTGACCTGCTTGAGGACTGAATAGTGTCCCTTTCACCAAATCTATATAACCTTAATGGCCCTCAGGGGCAGCAGGATAAGGTAGAGTGCCAACATGTAGCCTCCAAATAAAATGTGATAACCTCATCTTATTTTGTGGCTTGTAGCCACTGCTTGAAATTTGTGACAAAGTCTTACTATTTAATAACCATGAAACACTCTCTCCTTTTTACTTGGTGGTATCCGTTTAGGATTAGTTGTGAATAAAAAGCAGACCACATGTTAACTGCAATGGTGAATTCTAGTTTATTTTACTAAAATCATGACCTAATGCTTGAAAGTAGGTCTTAAGTTGTTACTAGGGCAGCATTTTGATGTGAAGGTGTTGGCCAAATGATAAGGCAAAGGGTATTGTGCAGCTTTTGTAAATTAATGCAAGATCATTTGACAATGCCAGTATGGAGAAGGGAGTAACATCTCTCACATGGAGACTGGCTGTAGCTGCTTTCCCAGGTGGTTGACCACTGGGATCTCCATACAGGTTCCAGAGAGGGGAGGTGGAAGGAGTCTCTGGTTTGAATGTCTAGGTAGCTGCAGGAGTCCCAGGGATGTGTGCCCTGACTACTGATAACGCAGAATGTTACCAGCCACTGTTTATCCCATCATACACTCTTACAGCACCTGAGAGCAGCAGATAATGGAGTTCCTATGCAGGAGTCCTGGAGATAGTGGGGTCTACACCCACTGCTGAACAAGGTAGGCAAAGAGGGACTTCACTAGAGCATGATGTGTGAATATACACCTGCCAATCACTGTTTTTCTTAGGATACCATTACTAGGAAGAGTATTTCAGGTACTTGTATAGCGTCATCAATTTACGCAGCACTTTACATATATATTGTACATTCACATCAGTCCCTAACCCTCAAGGTGTACAATCTAAGGTCCCTAACTTACAATCATACATACACCTATTAGGGCCAATTTAGACAGGATCCAATTAACCTACCAGCATGTCTTTGGAGTGTGGGAGGAAACCAGAGGAAACCCATGCAGGCACAGGGAGAACATGCAAACTCCAGGCAGGTGGTGCAGTGGCTGGGATTCAAACCAACGACCTAGTACTGCCAGGCAGAAGTGCTAACCATTTAGCCACTGTGCTGCCCCTGCTGAACGTACTGTCCAAAAATATTTTGAAATTAAGTGGTTGTGTGGGTTTTTTTCTTTTTTTTTTACCCCAACCAACCTAACCCCCCCCCCCCCCCCAGTCTGGCATTGAAGGTTTCACCAGGCTACCATTTGACCATTGTTGCTGGACTTTTTGGCTGAGCTTTAACTCCTTAATTCTGAAGACATCGGTAATGTTCTGGACATGAATACTGAAATTTTGTAGATGGGCAACTATCCTGGTTTTGATAAGTGGCTCCAAATTAACTACTGCAGTAGGGAACAGACACAAAGATATTCAGCATCTTTCCAAATAACTGTTCTGCCTCTTTGCCACATTTGAAGGTCTTTTTATACACATGCTTACGTATCACAGTAATATTATAATCTTACTTTTATGGTAACGAGGCATTACATTGGCAAGCTAATTTCTAATCAGGACTTGAAGAAATGCAAACGTAATCAAAACCTTATTAGTTCCGTGTACAATACATAGGCAAGGATACAAAATAGAATACAATTTTATACATAATTTAAAAATTTCTTTTATAGTAACTTCATTCCGGGCTGTCTGAGACCATGTGCCCAAACTTAGACTCTCATGCTACTCTTGATTGCAACAGAACCAACTATATGACCATGAATCAATCAAGGTTGGGGACCCCAAAACACCACATGGTGGTTAACCAGTGTGCTAGAACCTGATTAATTAAGTTACAACCCTTCCACAATGTTCATCTCCACTCTTCATTTCGAGCAGGATCTCCTTTCGAGAGCTTAACTTCCCCAAAAAAATGTCCAGAGGATACTTGCTTAAATTTTTATTTCTTCATTCCTCCTAACACAACATGTAGGTTATCAACATTCAATGCTGTTGCTTCACAGGCAAATAATCTTGGTAACTACTCCAAGGGATAAAACTCAAGGCCCACTGCTATTCTTCTCCCCTTGTGGAGTGGAAATTTAGAACAGTAAATGCTTAGTTATTGAAGTATAAGTCCCTCACTACCCTAAAGGGGAAGTGCCTCTTCACAGATGTGTGTCCCTCAAATCTACTTCCCAATACCATCTCCACCTTTCACTATTAACTCTGCCTTGAGACTGACTGGGACATTGCTCAGCACCCTGAGGATATGACCCAAGTTAAAAGGGGCCTACAGTCAGTACTATAGCCCATGCAAACATGATCTGCTCTGTTAAGTCTCTAGCTGTAAAATCTGTTTATTTTTCTCTTTTTCAAGCTCCAGCCGTAAGCAGTGGGATAGTAGATCTGATCCTTATGCGAGTTTGATGTCTCAGAAGGAGAAGGAATGGGTGATCAAACTGCAAATGATCCAGTTACAAAGTGAAAATCCCCATCTAGATGACTACTACTACCAGGTACAGTTGAGGTGAAGGTTAAAAGCCACTTCAACCAGAATTTCCATTTGAATGAGTGGCCAGCAGGGAGTTGTCCTTTGCCAACATCTTGTGTCACACAAGGGCTCAGAATTCTAGATTTGCCCATCTGCTACAGTCCACTACAAATATCATATGGTTATAGTTTAGTAGATTGTGCTGGTTTTTGTAAAATTAAAAATGTTAATTGGTGAGGACTGGCCAAACAATATCGTTTTAACATTGTAAATCTTCTGCAGTACTGAAATTAGTAACCACCTGCGCCTGTATAAAACAATACTGCTAGTGCTGACATTTGTGCTCCTACAAGCAACAGTTATTCCTTGGTTTACACGCCACTAAAAACAATATTGTTAAACTGGCTGGGATTCTGAGTGTGCTGCTTCCTCAGGTTGGGTACAATACATCTAGCCCCATCCACACACATGATACTGAGCCTCCATGATCTACAGGTGCGTTCTTTACTCCTGACTTATACAGGAGAGGAGTCACATTTTTGACCCCAGAGATTTTCACAGTAGTACATGAAAAATCTGTTTGTGTGGCGTTCAGTGCTGTTATTGGAGTCTATGGAATCAAAATGTGCAATTCTGCCCCAAAGAAGCTTGTGCTCCCTTTTTTTTTTTTTTTTTTTTCCCCCCTTTGCACAAGTGGTGCAATGCTCAGGTGTGAACAAACCCATTGAGAGTGAGGAATCTTCATCTTGAGCATTGTTGCGTCTGAGTTGCACAACAAAATACTCAGGTATTGACAGGGCTTAAAAGAGAAGTACAGCCAAAGCTCATTGGAAGGGGCGACTGTAGTATGGTTGTCACTGACTCCCTAGCCCCCCATCATGCCCAAGGGGGCCAGGAAGCCTCAGGGTACAGGACCGGTGAACCGAAGCTCCCTAGTCCTGGACTTGCTCTCCCCGGGCGGCAGGATCTGAAGCACAGGAAGGCCTCAACGTGGCGCCCGGACCGCATGGGTCTGCAGAGGTGGCGCGGGCAGGAGAGCGCCTGGACAGGTCCCTACCCCTCATTTCGGGTGAGTGTCCCAGGGAGCTAATGCCCACATCCGTGGACCTCCTCCAGGATGACCTGTCTTCCTGACCAGAGGACGGGATGTCCCCTTGGCTGAGTGCCTTGGGCCTCCTGGCCGGCCTAGCTGATCCAGTGGCAGTCTTTTCTGGCTACCCTGGCTACTAAGGACATTCAGATGCTTACCTTAATTTTGCAGCAGGCTTTTAAGGAGGAATTTTGGGAGGTTAAAGATACTCTGATTAGTAGCAAGGCAATCAAACTGTACAGTGAGTTCAAGCAGCTGTGGAGATGAGGGTCTCGGCCCTGGAGACCACCATGTCACAGTATCGGGACTATTTGTATTCCCTGAGCCAGCATCAGGATGATCTTGAGAATAGGAGTAGGAGAAATAACCTTAAGCTGCAGGGTATTCCAGAAGCTACACCCTCTATTGATCTCAGAACCATGGTTACAGCCATCTTGAATGCACTTTTGGTTAGAGCCAATACAAAAGGGATAACGGGCGCATGGTTTGGCAGCCCATGTATGTTTGAGTTCCAAATAGGCAGGGGTGAAGGTAGTCCAGTAAGCACTAAAAGCAAGCTGCTTAGGAGCGAAGCATAACTCTGCAGAAGGGAAAACAAAGAAACACCGCGCCTCTAAGTATGTACTGTGAAGGTATTTAATAAAAAGAGTAGTAGTAACTCACATCTTAGAATTTAAAAATGGGCTCATGGGTAAGAGGGTGAGACGTCTGTAGCCAGATGATATTGTGTGTCTGATCCAAAGAGGAGATCGATTGAGTCCATCAGCAGGTGGTGCTATGCATGTGCAACATGGATGGTAAGCCTGGTGGAATCTCCAAGGTGTCTGCCAGCAGATGGTGGCGCTTGTGTATATGCAGCAAAGATATCCGGGATCAGCACGTGGCTTCTGACGTCCTCAAAATGCAGCATTTTGATGACTTCAGACGCCACATGTGCTGGCTTACCATCCATGTTGCACATGCACAGCACCACCTGCTGATGGACTCAATCGATCTCCTCCCTGGATCAGACACACAACATCATCTGGCTACAGACGTCTCACCCTCTTACCCATGAACCTGTTTTTAAATTCTAAGATGTGAGTTACTAATCTTTTTATTCAATACCTTCACAGTACACACTTAGAGGCGCTGTGTTTCTTTGTTTTCACTTTTGGATAGAGCACCTACTGAGGCCCTGGAGCTAGGGTCAATAGCATCCAGGGTCCTGCTCTCTTGGATGCTGGGTGCCCCCCTGATACTTTTGTGTAGGGTGCATTTTTACAACATAGATGAGATCCTGAGAAGAGCCTGGCGCAGGGGTCCAGTGGACTTTGATGGGGCATCCATTCAAATTCTGCCTGATCTTTCTTGTCGCACCCTACAGTTGAGACATATTCTCAAGCCTCTGTTGGATAAGATTCATGAAGCTACTTATCGTTTGGGGTTTCTCTTTTTTTTTTTTTTTTTTTTTTTTTTTCCCCTCTCTCCATGCGGAAAGGTGAACGTTCTATGACGGTTCGTACTCCTGCTCAGTTGCTCTGCTGGGGATCTCTCCTATCTCTGGTCCGGATTGGACAGCCCTGGATCTGCTTGTGCAGCCTACCCCAATCAAATGCCGTAGCAGCCTCGTGCTTCCTCTGTCAGAAGGAACAGACCCAGACCTGACCGGTCAGATCCGGGAGGGAGGGAAGTATGAAACTACCAGCTGGTGGCTGTCTCTGAGACTCTTCACCAGTAATGGCTAAAGTTTTCTGCTCTTTCTATTTGAAGCTTTATAATTTGCATACTCCGCTGTCATCCGAACAACTCGAAACCCACTGTGGGCAGATTGGTGAGTATTTAACGGCCTCTGGTCTTCCTACGATTTCTGCGGAAGCGACGGAATGTCTGGATGCTTCAATTTCTCCTGATGAGTTCTTTGGTGCTGTTAAGTCACTTAAACCTCAGCATCGGTTCCCAATGGTTTCACGGGGGGAGTATTCTAAAGCATTTGCTTCTATTTTGGTGCCTAGATTTGTGGCGGCCTTTAATTCTCGAGGGCAACTCCTTGCCCTTGGACTCGTTGAGGGCGCATATCATGATCATTCTGAAGGAGGGGGAAGGATCCCTCTGTGTCAGAATTGTAGGCCCATTTCCCTTTTTGAACGTGGACCTAAAGATATTTACCAAGACTCTTTACATTCAATTGTTGCCTTTCCTCCAGGAGCTAGTCCATCCTGATCAAGTGGGCTTTATACCATGCAAAGAAGCCAAAGACAATACTACTAGGGTCTTGAATGTTATTCACTGGGCCCATTCTCGCAAGCTTCCCCTGTGCCGGCTTTCTGCGGATGCTGAGAAGGCCTTTGACAGGGTAGATTGGCTGTTCTTGAAGGAGACGCTCCGATACATAGGTGTGTGTCCGGGATTCCTGGCTTGGATTAAAGCCATCTATTCCTACCCTTTAGCGGCTGTCAGTACCAATGAGGCCACCTCTGCGTATTTCTCCCTGTCCAATGAGACTTGCCAGGGTTGTTTTTTTGTTTTTCGCCAATGATCTTTATTTTGACTTTGGAGCCCCTTTTGTGTCATGTGCGTTTTTTGAATCACAATGTTCAGGGGGTTCTCATGGGCAAGACGGAGCATAGGGTGGTGGCATTTGCTGACTACCTTTTGTTCTTCATGGGGGCCCCCCAAGGTTACATTGCCCAATCTCTTAGAGCTATCTCGCTATGTGGCTCTTTCAAATTTCAAAATTAATAGCAACAAGTCAGTTTTTGAATGTTACTATGCCCGATGGTAGGTTTCGGGCAGTTTGTGCCTCCTTTCAGTTGGCCACCTCATCGTCCTACCTGTGGGGCTAAAATTACCCATACTATGGATCAGTTGTTCCAAGCCAATTACCTTCTTGCTCTGGCTGCTGTCACGGCGGATTTGCACAAATGGAATGATCTTGCCCACTCTTGGATGGGGAGGAATGCCATACTTAAGATGAATGTTATGCCCCGCCTTCTATCTCTCTTCAAGATGCTCCCAATTGCAGTCCCTTTTGGCGTTTTTAAAGAAGGTGAGGGGTGTGTTTCTGCATTTCATATGGGCAAAGTCTCCACCGCAACTTTCTCATTCCTATTTGCCATTGTCTAAGAGCCATGGAGGGATGGCTTTCCCAGACCCTGTTAGGTACTATCAAGCTATTCATTTTGGCTAGAATTCTATCCTGGTGTAGAGAGAGGGGTCTTCGGCAATGGGTTGAGATGGAACCATGTGCAGTTGATGCTCCTCTTCAGTGTCTTCCATGGTTGGATTCCAACAAATTCCCGGCCATTAGGTCCCATCCTTTGTTGAGCACCTCCTTGGGAGTTGCACGAGGTTGTGTGGAAGGCCGACTTGTCTCCCGTTGTTTGTATCCCGTTTTGGGTAACCCTTGCTTTTCGCTGGAGATTTTGGTCTCTATTGGTGGGTTGCTCTTTCAGTCTTCGAAATTTTATGTCTGGGCCCCGGCTGAAGTCTCCAATGGAAATAGGGCAGTTGTTTGCTCCTCCCTTGGTTAGTTGGAGGTTACAACAACTTGTTAATTTCTTGTCTTCCTTGATTCATAAGGGAGTAGACCTGGGTCCTAGTACTCCTTTTGAGGATCTTTGCGTTACTCCTGAGCCCACCTCACATGCCATCTCATCGGCTTACAAGTTGCTTAGCCATCCAGATGACCCATTTGTGCCCCCGTTCCTTCTCAAATAGGATGATATTTTCGTCTGATCAGAGAGACCACATCTTGTATGTTGCCCATTGTTCCTCTGTCTCCAGTAAACATCAGGAATTTGGGTATAAACTGCTTACACGGTGGTATAGGGTTCTGTTACTCCTGCATAAGATCTTCCCTGAGGCCCTGAAGGTTTGTTGGCACTGTAAGGAGGAGGATGGCTTGCTCTTGCTTATCTTTTGACCTTGTAGGAAACAGACTGCTTTTTGGGCACAGGTGAGGGACCTGATTAAACTCCTGACTGGGTTTGACCTGGAGGATGACTCTGCTGCTGCACTCTGATCTCTCTAGGAAACGTTTCTATTTGCTCAATTCTGCTCGGGCCTGTATACCTGCTCTCTGGAAGCAGGAGGCTCCCCCCTCTGTTTCTATGTGGTTATTCAGGGTAGAGGACATTCACACAATAGAAAGTATCATGGCAGCAGTTTGGGGTCAGGAAGCTTGAAATCCCTTCATCCTCATTTTGCACCTTTTCTTCTCACATTTTCTCTGACAATAGCCTGGTCTGTTTGTACGGACGTTCGGCCCAGTGTGCAATACTTTGCTGTTTTTGGAACTGTCAACTTGAATCTCTCTGTATTTGGACTGCACCTGGTTCGTTGTCTTATTTCCTGGCATCTACTCTTTCGCCTTATTTTTGTTTGTTTTTAATATGAAAAAGCTGTTTAAAAAAAGAATGTTAAAAAAAAAAAAAAAAATCGTTGGCTGCAGTGTCTGAATTCTCAGTTCTCAGCCTTGGAGCCAGTGGGGGGGCAGATGTAGCATCCACCTAGGTAAGTATGATTTAAAAAATAACCCCATGCTTCTTTCTTAAAGAACTGAAATCCGTTGAAAGGGGTGCGGGCCATGGATAGAAGGACTTGATGATGCTGAACATTCCTCAGCCAGGAAATAAGGTGGTCTCTATCAGACTGGCTGCATGTTTTTAATGCAGTCTGTGAAGCTTTTGGTGTTCAGTGAAATCAGAGTATGCAATTTCAGGACAGGAGATGTGCCTGTACAACTGGTAAAAGCTTTACCAGTTTTTTTTTTTTTTTGTTTTTTTTTTTTATATTTTATTTTCGGGCCAAGTACCTTTTTCTCAAAGTATAGAAAACTAACTGGTGACCTTGCTATAGAAAACCAGTATCTTAGTAAAATCCTGTGCACTGAACAGATATTTCAGAATTCGGAGATATGTAATGAAGTGGGGGGGGGGGGTGTTCTGTAGCCCAACTTGGGAGTGCAGCTGATACACCATAGAGAACAATGCAGTGAATAAGCATAGTCACAGTAGGACAGGAAGTGACAATGGATCTTCAGGTGAATATCCAGCAAAAAATTAATGAATGCAGCCACTACATCCAAGGACAAATGAGCACCAATGTATAGCTTTTTTTGGTTTAGATAGAACTATATATTTAATAAAGATTTTTTTTGTTGTGGACTTTGGCTAACTAGAAGACATGATTGGGCAGCACAGTGGCTCAATGGTTAGCACTTTCTGGCAGCACTGGGCTTGTCGGTTCGAATCCCAACCACAGCATCACCTGCCTGGAGTGTGCATGTTCCCCCTGTGCCTGCATGGGGTTCCTCCAGGTACCATGGTTTCCTCCCATGCTCCAAAGACATGCTGGTAGGTTAATTGGATTCTGTCTAAATTGACCCTAGTATGTGTATCTGTGAATGACCTTGGATTGTATGTTCCTTGAGGGATAGGGACTGATGTGAATGTACAATACATATGTAAAGCACTGCGTAACTTGATCGTGCTATACAAGTACCTATAATAAATTAAAGGTATGATTCAATTTCTTTTTGTTTGTGGGGTGTTTTTTTTTTTTTTTTTTTTTTTTTTTTTATGCAGACCTACTATGAGAGACTGGAGCGGCGGTTAGCGGAGGAAGAATTTTTGGGTGAGCGCAAAAAGAAGGAACCTCCTAAACTTGTCACTCCCTATATCCAGAAAGCGGAGACCTATGAATCGGGTATGATGTTTAAAATATCATATAAAATCTCATAAGCTTAACGTAATGTCAATAGTCATTAACATTTTGAAGTCTACAGTTTTCATTAAAACGCCTGGTGATCGTGCTACGAAGGTCTCTGTTCAGGCACCTCTGGAAGTGCCTGATAAATTGTATCTAATTGTGCTGCTGCACTCACATGAAATCAATCAGCTTCCAGGTTTTTTTTTTTGTCAAAGCTTAAAGCAGAACAGTACTCTTCTCTGTTCTAGTGATGCGGCATCTTCGAGTTCAGTGCCCGGCTGCGGTCACTGGCGAGTTGAGGATGATTTCACTCCTGCACATACGTAGGAGTTACTCAGATTCGGCATTGCCAAATTTGTACAGAGAGCTGTGCGTGCATGGCTCACTGTACAACGGCGGACAGGCAGGTAAGTAGTTTTAATGCAGGAGAGACCAAGCATGTCTCTTCTGCATGAAAAATCGTGCCTGTTTGCGAATTTTAGTTGCTTGGCCTAAAGTTCCACTTTAACTGAAAAAGCTGAAGTTGGAAGCTGAATGGCTACCATGCACAGCTGCACCAGACTTTGCACCCTCCAGTTTTAGTAAATTAACACCATTGTGTGGTGAAAAACTTTGGTCTGCTGTTGTCACCGTAGGAAACTTAGTCCAAAGAAATGCCATACAGCCATTGCTGGAAAATGTTAACTGGAAGAGGCTGCAGTAATTTCCCAGCCCCACTGCTCAGATGACATGGGCACTTTTAAATGCCCTTCAGTTGGGGTGTACCACCTTGACTATCTAAACTGAAGAATAAAATTTTGTTCTACTCAAGTCTACCAGATCTTAGACTGATGACTGCATTAGGTGTGGGGTTTTTTTTTTTTGTTTTTTTTTTGGGGGGGGGGGGGGGGTTTCAGGCTAAGAACATTTTCTGTATGTAGGCACGCTCCTATTGACCCTGCCAGATATCCAGTGTTCTTGTAATATACAGGGATTGGACAAAATTATGGAAACCCTACATGATTTGCAGGTGTGAAAGTGACAACATATTTCATGTTGAAAGTGGAAATGGTGTAACACTGTTGAGACACCTAGCTAACGGGTGGGAAGCCTCACTTTCATCATTCACTGAGTGTGCTGTTAGTAATATGGAGTCATGTCAGAGGTTACGGAGCTTCAAACTGGTGCCTCTGTGACTAAAGTTGCTAATTTATTTGCCTTGTCATGAGGTACAGTATCAAATGTTATGATGGCATATACAGTTTCCAGGAAAATGTTATCCGAGCATAAGCACTGTCAACTGAACGAAAGAGACTAAAGGACATTTTGTGCAGGATTGTGACCCGGAATCAGAAAGCTGCTGCAAAAGTGACTGCAGAGCTCAATCTCGGTCTTCCAAAGCACGTGTCCACAAAAACTGTGTGGAGGGAACATTCATGGGTGAGCTGCAATTGCCAAACCACTAGTGACCGATTATTACTGCTCAGAAAAGAGATTGGTGCAATACCCATAAATGTGGGCTATTGATTAATGGAAGATTGCAGTATGGTCTGATGAGTTGAGCTTCACACTGTTCCCAACCACCGGACGTGTTTACGGTGTTAAACAGTCTCAAGCTTACATCCTGTGACATCGGTAAAGCGTGGTGGTGCAATCATGGCTTGGGCAGCAATACCTTGGTATTCTGCAGGACTCCTCACCTTGAAAAGTAGAGTCCCTGAGAACTACTATGTACAAATTTTGGCCGACCATGTGCACCCCATGATACAGACATTGTTTCCTGGAGACAGCGCCATTTATTAAAATAATGCTCCGATTCACACAGCTGGTGTTGTCAAATTGTGGTTTGTCATGCATACAGATGGAAGTCTTGCACCTTCCACGAGTGCCGCAGTATCATAGAGCCGCTATAGTCAATTGGGAGGACAAGGTTCAAGCTAGTTTTCCACCTCCTGGCATTTCTGTGGGAACTGGAATGTTTTTTGCATGAAGAGTGGTATCAGATTCCATTATCCACCATCCAAGACGTATAGTTCTTAATTCCCAGGAGACTTCAGGCCATCTTGGATGCCAAAGGTGGTCCAACACCATATTGGATAATTTTTTGTTTTTACCTGGTGTTCCATACTTTTTTTTTTTTTTTTTTTTTTTGTCCAACACCTGTATGTGTACTGAACTAAAATCTCAAGGTTTTCTTCTTTTCAAGCTACCCACTTTCCATGTAATGAAGATAAAAGGAGAGGGAAGTGTTTGTAGTTCAAATCAGAAGAGTAGTCTAGGGTGACAACACTGCTCCTCCATAGGTACAGTACGTCAATAAGCATTGTTGCCCTAGGATAAAAAGTTACTAGCAGGCATGTTGTGAAAAAAGAGAAAAGGTGAGGAGAACATGAAAAGAGGAGTAATGCAGCCACCACATCTAATGACTGGTTAAAGCATTACTTTTATTTCAGCCAGCGGAAAAAGAGATTTATTACACCACACAAACTAGGCGGACGGTGGAACCCCCAAGCAGACACCTCGCCGCTAATCGGCAACTGCAGCTTATTGGCAGCAGCCACTGTTCAAGGAAAGTTTGTCCCGTCAGAAGTCGATCAAATTACTTCTGTCAAGCGGAGACAGCCACAAGCAAACAAGATTCAGCTGCTGAAATGGTCAAATTTAAATCCAAAATATATCATTTGTCTTTTTAGTTTAGAAGAGCTTTAAAGTCTTGGCTGACTTGACCCAAAAAAGACAGTTAAGTTTTGAATGTACATTTGAAAGTTTATCCATGGCTTTTAAATTTTTTTTTTTTTTTCCTATTTTTTTTTTTTTTAGTGGTTCACATTGAAGGTTCTCTTGGACAGGTGGCAGTTTCAACCTGTTACAGCCCCAGGAGAGCTATAGATGCCATTTCCTATGTAATGCCAGATGAGGCAAGTATTAGGTTTGTTTGACATGTTTCTACTGATGTTGTAAAAGTAAACAAAAATGAGCTGTAATCAGGTATTTCAAAAGTACCAAATTAACGTGAAGCATGGCAAACCGATCTCATGCATCTGAGTACTTGTGTACACTAGCACTTGGCTTTGTGCTAGAAGTATTTAATCTTTTGGTGTTTTTCTTTTTAGGATATTAAAGCTCTTGGTTACCAGAGGCTGAGGGTGCTCAAACACATTGAAAAGGCTAGTCAACTTTGTGTTTTCTATTTAAAATGCTGACTAGACAGTTTTTAGTCTGTGTGAATTTGTTCTGTACAATATAATTTAAGGTAAACTAACATTTTTTTATTATTTTTTGTGAGATGCAGTTTTAGATGTCCATCTTCAGCATATTTTTCAATCTTAAAAGCCTGGTTTTTGGGCTCATTATATGCAAAGAAAATGCTAGCTGCTTAAAAACAATACAATCCTCTTTGGCTGGATCTAATCGCTAAGCACAAAAGTTTTTATGGCTGGTTCACACTATTGAAACAGTCCAGATGTGTTCCGGATGCGTTTTTTGCATGCACGTTTTTGATGCATTCCAGTTAATTCTCTCTCTCTTCTTTTCTCTCTCTTCTTTTCTCTCCTTTTCTCTCTCCTTTTTCTCTCTCTCCTTTTCTCTCTCCTCCTTTTCTCTCCCTTCTTTTCTCTCCCTTCTTTTCTCTCCCTTCTTTTCTCTCCCTTCTTTTCTCTCCCTTCTTTTCTCTCCCTTCTTTTCTCTCCCTTCTTTTCTCTCCCTTCTTTTCTCTCCCTTCTTTTCTCTCCCTTCTTTTCTCTCCCTTCTTTTCTCTCCCTTCTTTTCTCTCCCTTCTTTTCTCTCCCTTCTTTTCTCTCCCTTCTTTTCTCTCCCTTCTTTTCTCTCCCTTCTTTTCTCTCCCTTCGTATTTTTCAAACAAAACCAAATAAAAAAATTAATGGTGAATAAGAGAAAAATGGCTAAGGGGAGAAAGGAGCTAATTAGGGCTGACTAAGGTTAAACCGGCAGTAAAGTTAGGAATTAAAGAAAAATTTAAAAAAAAAGCGTGCATAGGGTTTTTATAACAAGAGACTCTGGTGGTCTCTTCTGTTTATAAATGTCCCTCCTGCCTGTCAGTGATCTGAACCATGCATGCACAGCTCAGGCCACATTTACCGCACACTGTGTGCCGCGGTGATTCCCATGCACATGTGCGAGTGAGATGTCACCTTTTGGCCTCCCCGGCAGATGGGCTTCCCCTTCTCCCAGGACACGGAATGTGACTCGTAGCCTCAGCTTTGTATGTGTTTCAATGAGCCAATGTGGACAGGATGGTGGCCTTCCTCCACTCAGCTCTGATTACAGGGAGCTCTGTGCTCTAGCTCTGCAGTGTGTGTGGTGTCAGATCCCCGTCCCCTGCTTTCGGCTGTTCTAAAAAACGCACAGATCAAAGGATTTTTCTGAAGGCTCTACAGGTGAAATGGCTGCAGATAAACATGTAAGATCTGCTTAATCTGTGTATCACTTGAGGCTAGTCACTTCACTGGATTTAAATCGCATGTCTGGCTTTTGATCTCCTTGACTCAATACTTTGGATCACTGACATGCATATTTGGAGTGGTGACTTGCTGCAGGACCGTCTGTGTCGTGACTTTGTATGTGAACTAATCGGCATAAAGAGTAGCAAGAGTAGTCGATGCTTGGAACAGACTTCCAGCTGAGGTAGTCTGAATATACTTACTATTGACTAACATCCTTGGAACAAACCTAGATCTATACTTAAGACAAAAAAATTCATCTATTTGAAGAAAAATATGGTAGACTTGATGGACCATGTGTGTTTTTTTTTTTTTTTTTTTTTTTTTCCTGCCATCCGTTTTTTCTATGTTTCTAAGCTTCTCCAATGTTAGCTTTGGTGTGTGTGTGTGTGTGTGTGTGTGTGTGTGTGTGTGTGTGTGTGTGTGTGTTTCTCCCCCATATGGGTTTCTTCATTGGCTTCAGTTTCAGATAGTTCAGTGTAATGAGATTTGACATGGCCATTCAGTAAGCTCCTATGCTACCCAGAAAGTGTATTGTGTTTGCACTGTTGGGGGACTGCATATACGTTTGATGAAAGGGACTTTGTCTGGGTTTCAGCTCTTCATAAAGTTGCTGGAGGTGGAAGAGACTGAGAGGAAAATACCTCACATGCCTGAAGACCAGCATATCCGCTACCAACAAAAACAAAGCTACAAAGTTCAAAGCATCTATGAAGCGCTGAAGATTGGAGTGTGCAGCTGTGATGAGTAAGTGGGATTCCCCAACTGTCAAAGTGCAATATTGTATTACTGCGTTTTTGTATAGTTATTTTACAAGGTGTAATAGCAGAAATTGTTTGGACACCGGGCCAGATTTAGTCTGTCTGATCTGGGGTGCAGTAAAAAATGTCAGGGGGGCAGAGAATGTGAGGTCAGCAGGGCAGTGTACGGTGGTTTATCAGGGCAGCGGATCGGGTCAGTAGTTTTTAGGGAAGAGGCAATTAGTTTGTAGAGCAGTGTACAGTGGGTTACCAAAAGGCGGAGGACAGGGTCACTGCCTGCAAGGCACTCGTGTTCTCCTCTTCCCCATACAGATCATAGCTGAGATTGGTATCCCTTTTACATTATTTAACTGGCTCCTTTAGCTGCCAATCCCATCAAGGACTTTCACAGGTCAGAACTGCAACATGGCAACCAGCTACACATTGTGCAGATCAAGTCTGTAAGAGAATCAGATGTCAGCTGTTGTGTTATTTGAGGAAGATGAAATCTGTTGAGTTCCTTGTGTGTAGAGTGGGCAGTGCCAGAAAGGTCATCTAGCACCCAAGGTGAAGATGACAAGCTGCGCCACCCCTCCCAATGTGTACGCATCATGTCTCAGAAGAAATCCCCCCCCCCCTTAAAAAAAAAAAAAAAAAATGCACCAATCAATACTCACCCCTAAGCATAAACTCCTTATGCAAGCCAGAATACTTTCCAAACAAAAATTTCCCCATCCTCCGTCCAAATTCCCCCTCCCAGCATATATCTTTGTCCCTAATCTCACCTTCTAGCTCAAATCCCACTCTTAGCACAGATCCTCCCCTTCAAAATCCTCCCTTCTAGCATAAATTCTTCCCACAAATCCCCCATAACACAAATCCTCTCCTCTAAATCCCTCCCCCCCAGCACAAATCCTCCTCCCAAATCCCCACTCCTAGCTTGAATTTTCCCCACCTCAATTCACTCATAGCATAAATTCTTCCACTAAAATCCCCCCCCCAGTACAAATCCTCTTTCCTCTTAAAACTTCCCCTTCCAAATTACCTTTTCCAGCACAAATTTCCCCTTCCTAGTACACATCTTCCCCATTCCTCCTAGTACAGATCAGATTGTATGGTAAATGGCTTGATTACCCACCCCCTATCTCCTCCAAGGACTGCTCATCTCCCAGAAATGTGGGTAGTAGCGGGTAAGCAAGCTGTGTACCATCCAATCTAAGAGCGATCCTGTGTAATCTGCCATATGGGGGACTGCTGTTATGACAGGAGGGGGGAGACCAGTGGTGTATTTAGGTTTTGTGCTGCCCTAGGCAACACACAAAAATCTGACACCCCCCCCCCCCCCCCCCTTCCCCCGGCCCACTCCCCCACCTGTGAGTTCTGAGCTCACCACCGTCCTGAGAGAGAAGAGAGACAGTCACCATCACAGCTTTCCGGAATCCCAGCTCCCTTACCGTAGTCTCACGGCTGCTCCCCGGCTCCATTTCACTCTGCTATTCCTCCGGCACTTGTCGCCCAGCCTCGGGGCCTCCTTGGTGCAACGCAGGACAACCAGTGTTCCTTCTTCCAGGAGGCGCCACCGCCCCTCCTAAAAATTGTCGCCCAAGGCAGACGCCTTGTTTGCCTTGTGGCAAATACGCCCCTGGGAGAGAGCTCAGAGAGTCCACACCTCCTCCTGGCTCTCCGTCTGTCCGGACCTCACTCCACCATTTAATGACTGATCTGGAAGATCAGTGCCAACCTGAGTCTACTGCCTAATGTCCTCGATCTAGTAAAAATAAGAGCACTGGGAAAATGGTGTCTGGGAACTAGAAGTGCAAACCTTTCCTATTTTCTTTCCCACTGTGCAGTTGTTGCATCACAGCAATGTACAAGTAAGCTGCTATGAGACTATGCCCTTGATAGTAACCCCCCAAATTTAAAGTAGTAGAAAATTACATTGTGAGTGAAAATCGCCTGTAAATACTTTTAGAGATATTGGCAGCTAAAGTAGTGCATTAGTTATAGTTCCCATCTGGAGAAGTGTTATAATGTTGACTTGGGGGTCCTAAAAATTTTATTTCAGGAATTTTTGCTGAGTGTAGTATAGGTAAGCATCTATGCTTAGCTTACATTTATCACACAATATAATCAGCATCACTTTCTTTAGTGAATCAGAAAATGAGTTTCTGCAAATTCTGCAAGTTGGGAAGGGGAAGAAGCTGGTTGCTCGGCTCCTCCGGTTCCTCCACAGTGAACAGGCGGTGGAAATCCTTTTGACTGTTGTCCAGCATTTGTCCTACCTCATAAAGAATGACACCAATGAAAAGGTAAAAATGTTTTTGGTAGCTTGTGGTCTTAAGGGGCTAATATAACATTAATACTGTGATACGGTCTACACAAGTACGAAGATTATGGAAAAAGAACACGCTTTCTTCAGTAGAAGCCATGTGATGGCTTCTCTGTTTGCAGTGGGAAAGGGTTAGAGTCTTGGTCATGTTTTATGGTCTGTGTCCTCATTATCCACTTTGTGAACTGATGGTAAGGGCAATTCTCTCCAACAGGGACTTGACTGGCTCTTCTGTTTTCAAAGCTTCAATTTAAAGGTTCCATGTAGTCCAGAGTTAGTAAATTGAACAAGCTAGGGTTGATTTAATAAAATTGAAGAGAACAAAATCTGGTGCAGCTCTACATTGAAACTAATCGGCTTCCAGGTTTTTTGTCAAAACTTAACTGCACAAACTGAAGGTAAAGTTAATTGGCTACCATGCACAGCTGCACCAGATTTTGTACTCTACACTTTTAGTAAATCAACCCGAATGCCCATAAATATGAGGTGTATCTAGAAAGTAATGAGACTGTTAAGTTTATTGAACAATTTTACAATTGAACATGGTCTCCTTCAAAGTATGCACCTTGTGAGTGTACACAACGCTCCCAGTGACTTTTCCATTCTTCATAGCATCCCTGGAAGTCTTCAAGTGGGATAGCGTTCAGAGCCTGCGTAGTGGCTCTTTGGATGTTATCCACAATACCAAAATGGTGTCTTTCCAGTCCTTCATCTTTGGGAATATGAAAATCGCTAGGAGCCAAGTCAGGGCTGTAGGGTAGACTGGGAAGCACCGTGATGCGTTTTTCAGCCAAAGCATTGTCATGATAAAGGATCCAAGTTGAGCTGATCTCAGGATGCACACAAAAAGCTCTCAGGCGATCAAGAACTTCCAGGTAAAATCTTTGATTCACAGCTTGACCACTAGGTACAAATTCCTTTTTATGGACAATTTCACGTGAATCAAAAAATCCAATGACCATTGATTTTCAATTTTTGGTTTGCTCATTCGAGCTTTCCTGGAGCGAGGTGACCTGGGTGTTTCTTCATCTCAGGATCGTACTCAAAGTTCAGAATGGCAAATGCCCAGGATTCCTCTCCCATGTTCACATGATGCAAAAAATCAGGCTCTCTTTTTAAACGAGCCAACAGATCATGGCAAAAGTTGACTGTGGTCCTTCTGATTAGCTGACAAGGTCTTTGGAACAAGTTTTGTGCACACTTTTCTCATGTTCAAATCCTGAGTCACAGCTTCATGAACAATTGACTTGGTAATTCCCATTTCCTCTGCAATCATTCTGATAGTGAGCTGTAAGTCATGGTTGAGAACAGACCTCACTTCAACCACATTCTGTTCTGTTTGATGAAGATGAACCAACGATCAGGACGCCCCTCTTTAACATCACCTCAACCTTCCTTGAAGGCCTTGTACCATCGATAGTGCAGCTTCTCTATAAGCTTTCCTCAGCATTTCCAAAGTTGCAATTTTTATCCAATTTCACACAAAATGTTATTGCGTATCACTGTTCCAAACTTTTTTTCTTAATACAAGGCTCTGCAATAGGGTGTCACAAAAAATGTCTCAACTCTGTCAGGGCTGGAATGCAACTGATCAGTGTTCTAACGTATACCTGGCACCCCCACCCCAAGTGACCTTAGCCAGCTTCTCTCTTCACAGAGCACTTCTTGAGTGTAAGAACTTCATTTTCATTTTTTAGAAACCCCTCTTATGCTGATTGAACTGAAATTATTTTGTGCACAATCCTGTACTTAAAGGTTTTTTGTCTTCCCTGCTTGTAAAGCGTGTCCTTGATTTTATACACCTGTGGCAATGAGGGTCATTGGAACACCTGAATCCAATGATTTGGAGGGGTGTGCCAGTACTTTTGGCAATATTGTGTGTGTGTGTATAATAAAAAAAATATATATATAATCTCCATCCACTATATGAAAAGGGACTGTCATGACCATTCCACCTTTTTAAGGTTTTACAACTCTTAAAGGTAAATTCTCTACTTTTCAAGCATCTATTGTTGGAATGGTTATGTGAATGAATTTCTGTTTTTTGTAGTCTCTTCCAGTACTCTATGGACCCCTAACGTCTATAATTAATGAACTGCCATTTACTGAGCTAATCCGAGTAATTCAAGAACTTACCAGGCCTTTGCCAGAGAGCCCAGATTTGCCGCTTACATTGGCGTTCCAGAACCAGGTATTTAAGTATTTCTCTGGCACTCAGGTACTGCACACCCTATACTTACAGTAACACCTCATATACTCTATAGCTCATACAGTCATGGCGTATGTGAAAATGTGACACCATTTTACTCAGCTAGTCTTTTGGACTGTGTACTCAGGGATCAGGAGAGAAGTGTTCTAAAACTCCATGTTTTCTTTGTGGTCTGTCCCTGCTGGAGATTCCCTTTTTTTTTTTTTTTTTTTTTTTTTTTTTTTTTTTTCTTCCTAGTGACTTTGGTAAAAAAAAAAATGTAAGGGGGGGGGGGGGGGGGGGTGTAGAGGGGCAGAGAGGGAATTTTGTAATTTGGACAGTTGTCACTAGAACATATGTTCCCGTTGCTAATTTGTCGACCATAAAATGTAGTATATCCCTTCAAAACAAATAGTGGTGCATCTGTCCAGTAGGAACATGGATGGAGCTGGCTAATTGTAAAAAAAAATGAAGAGGTCTCTTTTTTTACTATTTTTATATCTTAATATGGGGTGACGCCAACACAAATGTCTATAAGGCACCATCCCTCTAATACAGTGGTTCTCAACCTGTGGGTTGCGACCCCTTTGGGGGTCGAACGACCTTTTCACAGGGGTCGCCTAAGACCATCAGGACACACATTTCTGATGGTCTTAGGAACCGAGACAGAGCTCCTCTATCCATCTCCAGGCAGGTCTGCCCACATGTAGACTCTATGATGTAGTGGTGAGGGCGGCCGGAGGGGCTCGGCAGGGTGTCCCGCACTCCCGGCTTGCTGCGAGCCTCTCACGCAGAACTAACGCCAGCACACTGACTGGCCCGCTCACTGTGCGTTATGAGCGTCTGGCCAGGCTGGAGGCTCCTCCCCTGCAAGGGGTGGGTCGGAGGTGCCCCGCTGCCACCCATTGGCTGCCCTTGCACCTGATGCATGTTTCCCTGGGTGGACAGCTGCTCACAACAGCTGGATATGTGAGCCGGGCCCCCCTTTGCCTCCGGGGAGGGGGGATCTGGTTACCCGCAGAGCGTGTGCCCTACAGCCGCTCACCTCCCACGGAGGCTTCTCCTCACAGCACTTGTACGAGGGCTGGCAACGGGGCACATGGCCCGCTAGAGGGAAGTACACAGCGACCAGCAATCCCAAACTTTCCAGGGTCATAGAAGGAGCCTCAGCACAGACGACTTGGTGTGGGAGAGGGCTGATATCCCTGAGGGGAAGGGAGGGAATACTGGCCATACACACTTCAATTTTACTATCAGATCCAAATGGCAATCTGATTAACTTCTGTTTCCATCAAATTCCTTCAGTCGATTGACCAGGGTGCAAAATGAAAACTCTTTCTGATAATCTGATCATTAGTACTCCTCTGTCAAGGGCTGGTCATGTCAGTTCATGCGAAAATATCCAAAGGGACAGGCACAAAAATGTTCTCGTACAATCACAGAAGGAACTATTGAAAATACATCCTGCATATCAGATATTTACATTACGATTCATAATAGTAGCAAAATTACAGTTCTGAAGCAGCAACGAAAATCATTTCCTGGTTGGGGGTCACCACAACATGAGGAACTGTATTAAAGGGTCGCGGCATTAGGAAGGTTGAGAACCACTGCTCTAATACATAATGCACAACTGTCTGTTCCTGTGGCATGGATGTGCGAGAGACTTGTGAAAAAGTAGTTTTCAATGTGCCTTACAGGGAAAACCATAGTGCCACAAACTAAAAGCAATGAATTTTATTACAAATTTAAAAAACATAATAAATGACCATTTTCCACCACAGTAATGACACATATATCGCTTGAAGGTGTAAGATCACAAATGAATGTCCTAGGTCCAAGCCACATAGTCCTAAATGGGTGTTCTGGATAATAGCATTTTGTCACAGAATCCAATTAAAAAATTATGAAACTGTAAATGAGCAAAACACTAGTAGTCTTGGCACAGAACTTAGTCGAGATTCTCGGCAGACCATGTGGTCGCCAGCAACCATGTAAAGTGCATCACTCATTCATCAAACTTTCAATGTGCAGCAATAGTGAGGTGAATTTGACTCCTTTCAAAAGTAAAGAGCCAGTAAACTCTGCAATGTCCAAAAGTCCTGCCATCACCACTGGCTGTATTCTATAATGTGTGTCAACAAATTTAAAAATCGCATATTGCCATGTTAGTACAGCAATCTGTCTGCTGTGCTATTGTGTTCTGATAGGGGGACTGCCCCTCCACCTTCCCGCCAGAACACACTGGTCATTACTCGCAGCCATTGAAGAGTGCTGATCTGGTGCTAATCAGCTGCTGGCTTTCTAGGATGCTTGTTCGACAGAAGCCAGTCGTGAGATCAGTTTGTCGGATAAGGACCTGTACACACTGGCCGAATGTCTGCCAGTTTCTACTGTTTTCAGCCTATATTTAGCCCATGTGTACGGGGCTTAAGCCTTTCTCATTTTGTTACAAAATGAAAAGAATTGATACAGAAAACCGTGATCGCCTAAAATTTATGTAAGGCAAGACTTCAGTTAACTTAGACTGAATCATCCTTAATTTATAGATTATCAATGTAAAATTCTTTGGCATCTCTGAAAATGTTTTTGTCTCTAGTTTGGAATCTCCCTGTTGTATGCATTACTGAGCCATGGAGAGAGCCTATTGTCTTCTGATACACCAATGGAGCCATGCATTGGGGACTTTGAAAAATGGTAATGAGTATGGAGTCTGTGTGTCCCTGTGTAACCCTGTTTGGCAGTACTTGTGCTGTGTGTTTGCATATTCTCAAAGTAGTAGTCTAGCCTATAGTCATAACTTTAGATATGGACAGGTACTGGTGAGTGGCATGACTTTGCTGTCTTTTTGTATCTCCTGGTGAAAAAATGTATGGCTTAAGATGGTGGAAGTTGCAAACCTCCAGCATCTATCCAAGAACAACCTAAATTATTGTTGAACCAATGCTTTCAAGTTTTTTTTTTTTTTTTTTTTTTTTTTTTGTGCACCTAAACATTCATTCTACACTTGTAGTAATGCCAGGAGTCCTTGAAGCTTCACCTATAGTATGTAAATCACTATGGCACACTAAACTATTCAGGGCCACCGAGAACCAGTTCAAAACCTATGCTTGCTGAGTTTTGTGACCATGTGTGTTGTGTTTTTTTTTTTCTTTATCTTTTTCTTTTTTTCAATTCTTGGAATTTGGGAAATGATCAAACTCTGTATATGTAGACTTTCCTCTTGCTGTCCTTGTGTAATGGTTGTTTAGAGCAAAAGATTTGTATTTTGTTTTTTTCATGGCATGTAAAAGCCTCCATTTGTCTCAATTCCTCCCTAGGACTGATACAGTTTTCCTTGTAGCAAAGGAGCTCTCTCATGTTTCCAAATCCTCCATGGTGGAGCCACTCTTCCTGCCAAGCAATTTGCTTTCCTTATTTTGCCGTTACCTTGACAAGCAGACTATTCATAAACTAGAGGACAAAATGGAGTAAGTTGCCTTCTATTTCCAACCTATGGTGAAAATTTGGACTCCCAAAGGAGGAGAGACTATGCTTTAGGTTTACAAAAATGGATGGGGTTGATATTATTTTGTTTGCCTAAGTTTTTGTACACAGACATCGAGTACACATTCGTGTGTTTTGGAAAAAGCTTATACTCTTTCATGCAGGTTTCATGTCTTCGTAACAAACTGTGCTACATAATAATTGCCAGGGAAAAAATTACTTTAAAGCATACAAAATGTCATTGCAAATACGTTGATTCTTAAATGCATTTTTTTTTACATGCAAGCAGTACCTTTTTAATGTGACTTTGTATCAGATTCTTGCAATCTCTCTCCAGCACAGCTCAGGTGGGGAGATGAAGAAGCAGCACAAGGAGCCAATCAGTTTTGCTGCAGTGCTGACAAGGGGCATGCAGATGGGAGAGAACAGTAGCAGTCCATAGCTCTGTTGATGCATCCTACAACATGCATTTTCCTCTCTTGCATCCACAGTTGGTAAACAATCCATGAGCTTGGTTTTTGTTTTATTGGGGGATAACTTTTGATAGGGTCTTCAGGTATATGGGATGCCCAGTGGAACTGAAACAACTTTGGAGGACAACTTGTGTACAAAAAAACAAGACATTTGGCAAATGGCACAAAAATAGATCCTGGACTTTCTACTTGTTCTGGAGCAACTCTTGTCTTTTGAAGAAATCAACACTAGGAGCACTTGATCCCCTAAACTAACTTCTTCAGACCCCAGATGAAAATCTCCTCCTCATCCACCTGACTGTCATGAGAATATCCCAGGGCAAGGTATTCCAAGATGTGCATGGGATTGATTGATGTCCCAGAGAGAACTAGGTTGGTATTACACCTGACTGCCCTCTCCGTTGTAGGCCCAGGGAGTGTACGGGTACTCGCTGTCCTGTTCATATAGTTATAAAAGTCAAGCTGCTTTCAGGCCTTGCGCTGGGCTGGCTTCTTCCCCTGCTGACAGGCTGTCCTTCCTTGTAGACTGTTGGACAGTGGAGATCCCTCTTTCCAGCTCCACACCAGCAGCACTTCCCCACTCCATCTTCCACCTGACTCCCCTGCTGACTAGGGTCTTGTCATAGTTGAGGGCTGACCTAGCCATCATGAGAGGCCTCCAGCATAGGGATTGGCCGGATTCCCCAAAGAATGCAGATCAGGCGCTCCTCACCCACGCCTACTGGCTTCTAGAAACTTCTCCAAGTCTCTAGAGCAGGCGGGGAATATCGGAGAATTGACCTGTAGAGTAGCCCTCCAGCATTAACCTGAAGTAAACTTGCTGACTCCTACTCAGACTTCTAGCAAGCCTCTAACTGTACAAAAAAAAAAAGATTTACACTTGAGGGTGTTACACCTATATTTTAGCTACAATAGAAGTGGGTATCTACTTATACTGTAGCTCAAGATTGTAATTTGGGGTATCGAGAACAGGGGTTTTGAATGATCTAAATATAACGCTAGCAACAGATGTAGTTATAGTTATGCTTCAACTCCTGGGCTAAGTGTGGAATTGGGACCACTGCAACGCATAATACTGGATGATGCTTGAGTTCAGTGTGCTTAAGACCTACTTCCTACAGTTGACACACAGTCCAGGACACCACTTCCCACCCACACTGTTAGTATCTGACCTAATCGAAAGCATCTGGATTAATGAAAAGCTAGATAAAACGCTCCAGATTTATTGGGGTGATTTCACTAGCCGTTTTTTTTTTTTTTTTTTTTTTTGTACATAATTTCGCTGATGCATTATTATTATTATTATACAGTATTTATAAAGCGCCAATAGTTCGCGCTCAGCGCTGTACATTACAAAGGGGACAGAACAATGTGACAGAACAATACCAATACAATGCAAAACATGAGGGGATCGAGGGCCCTGCTCTTTCAAGCTTACAATCTAGGAGGGAGGGGATGGTGGCACAGGAGGAGATAGCTGTGGGGGATGGAGTGGTAGGAAGAGTGGAGGAGGTCGGCAAGTTAGCAGGGGGCGGGGTAGGCTTCCCTGAAGAGATGGGTTTTCAGGGTGCGCCCTAAAGGAGAGGAGAGTAGGTGATAATCTGATGGGTTGGGGCAGGGAGTTCCAGAGGATGGGTGACACCCTGGAGAAGTCCTGGAGGCGGGCATGGGAGGAGGAGACCAGGGAACTAGAGAGAAGGAGGTCTTGTGAGGAGCGGAGTGTGCGTGCTGGGGCTGGGCGGTACTTGGATATTAGGTCAGTGTGATGTAGTTTGGGGCAGTATGGTGGACAGCTTTGTATGTCAGCGTTAGGATTTTGAATTTGATCCGTTGCGCAATCGGAAGCCCAGTGGGGGATTGGCAGAGGGGGGTTGCGGAAACGGAGCGGTTGGAAAGGTGAATGAGTCTGGCAGCCGTATTCAGGATGGACTGAAGCGGGGATAGCCAGCGGCGAGGCAGGCCAGTGAGGAGGGAGTTGCAGTAGTCGAGTCGCGATATGATGAGGGAGTGGATGAGCTGTTTAGTGGTTTCTGGAGTTAGGAACGTGCGGATTTTGGCGATGTTGCGGAGGTGGAGTCTGCACGAGTTTGTTAAAGAGTGGACTTGGGGCTGGAAGGATAGGTTGGAGTCCAAAATAACACCAAGTACTCTGGCCTGCGGGGCGGGTTTGATGGTGGCGTTGTTGGACATGATGGAGAAGTCAATGGGGGGTGGTGTCCGGGCTGGAGGAAGACAAGAAACTCGGTTTTGGAGAGGTTCAGTTTAAGGAAGTGGAGCGACATCCAGTCTGATATGTCGCTCAACAGGTGTGTGATTCGGGCGGAGAGACGAGGGGGTGAGGTGGGGGTTGAGAGATAGATTTTGTGTGTCGTCGCATAGAGGTGGTAGTTGAAGCCGTGAGAGTGTATGAGTCAGGCAAAGGGAGGAGGTGTAGATGGAGAAGAGAAGGGGCCCCGAGGACAGAGCCTTGAGGGACCCCAACAGAGAGGGGGAGTGAGAGGGAGGTGGTGGCATTATAGGTAACGCTGAAAGAGCGTTGTGACAGGTAGGATGAGAGCCAGGAGAGAGCAGAATCTCTGAGGCCGAGGGAGTGTAGTTTTTTGAGGAGGAGGGGGTGGTCGACTGTGTCAAAGGCTGCAGAGAGGTCAAGGAGTAGGAGCACTGAATAGTGGCCATTAGCTTTGGCGGTTAGCAGGTCGTTGGAGAGTTTGAGTAAGGAAGTTTCGGTGGAGTGTAGGGGACGGAAGCCGGACTGTAGGGATCGAGGAGGTTGTTGTCGTTGAGGTGAGAGCATAGGCGGGCGTAGACTAGGCGCTCAAGGAGTTTAGATGTAAATGGGAGCAGGGAGATGGGTCTGAGGTTGTTCGGGGTCATTGGGGTCCAGGGAGGGCTTTTTAAGTATGGGGGTGATGTGTGCATGTTTCAGAGGGGAAGGGAAAGTGCCGGAGGAGAGGGAGAGATTGAAGATGTGGGTGAGGGAGCGTAGGATGGAGGGGGAGGGAGGTCGTAGGAGTTGTGTGGGGATAGGGTCAAGGGGGCAGGTGGTGAGGTGGGCATCAGAGAGGATCCTGGAGACTTCTTCGATGGTAATAAGGTCAAAGGTGCGGAGTGTTGGGGGAGCTTCAGTATGAGGAATGTAGGGTGGGGTGGGAGAGGAGGTTAGAGCAGTGGTGGGGCCGTGGGAGAGGGGTGTAGAGGGGGTAGCTGAGTGAGGGGGAAGGGGGTTGGAGGGAGTTTGAGCAGCGACGAAGTCCCTGTGGGTTATGTCGAGGGGGAGGGGGGATGAGGGGGGTAGCTGTGTGAGAGAGGGGACGGGTTGAGACGGCGTTTTGTGAGTTGCGGCAATGTCCTTGCGAATTTTGTCAATCTTGTTTTTGAAGTGATTGGCAATCTCAAGGGCAGTGAGTGAGGTGCTGGGTGGAGGTGGGGGGTGGCGAGAGTAGAGAGTTGAAGGCGGAGAAGAGTCGGCGAGGATTGGAGGAGAGGGCCTTGATGAGGGTCAGGAAGTAGGCTTGTTTGGCAGTATGGAGGGAGGAGGTGTAGGTGTGGAAGGCAGATTTGTATCGGGTGAAGGCTTGTTGGGATTTGGTTTTGCGCCATAGTCGCTCCAGGGCACGACTGTGTCGTTTGAGGGTTTTGGGTGTGATCAGTCTGCCAGGGCTGGAGCGGTTCGGGGTCTGATGTTGCGTGTGGTTAAAGGCGCTAGTGAGTCAAGGGCTGTTGACAGCGCATTGTTGTAGGCGGTCATAGCCAAGTCGGGGCAGGACAGGGGGGAGGATGCGGTCATGGAGTTGATCAACTGCGGATTGGAGGGAGGCAGGGTTAAGGTTGCGGAGGTTACGGCTGGTAGTAGTGTGACATTTGGAAGGGTAGGCATTGGAGGATGAGGAGATAGAGAAAGTAATCAGGTTGTGGTCAGAGAGAGGGAAGGGGGTGTTAGTGAGGTTGTGGGGAGCGCAGCGGTTGGAGAAGACAAGATCAAGGATATTACCGTCGGATCGTGTGGGTGGTGGATTGTATGCACTGTGCAAGTGCAAAGGAGTAGGTTAAGTGGAGGAGACGGGCTGTGTCCGGGTTGTCGAGGTTGACAGGGATGTTGAAATCCCCAAGGATGATAGTGGGTAGCTCAGAGGAGAGGAAGAAAGGGTAGCCAGGAGGAGAAGTCTTCCAGGAAGCGGGGTATGGATCCAGGAGGCCTGTATATCACAGCAATCTTCAGGGGGGTTGGGGAGAATAGTCGGACACAGTGGGCCTCGAAGGAGGAGAAGGATAGGGAGGGGGGGTTTGGGAGGACTCGGAAGGTGCTCAGCGGTGACAGGAGCAGGCCAACCCCACCACCTTTACGACCGTTGGGCCTGGGTGAGTGGGTCCAGGTGAGACCGCCGTAGGAGACTGCAGCAGGGGAGGTAGAGTCAGTGGGCTGGATCCAGGTTTCCGTAATCGCCAGGAGGTTGAGGGAGCGGGAAACAAAGAGGTCGTGGATGGCATGGTAAGCTTGTTGCACACCGATCGGGG